TCCCTCCCTCCCTCCCTCCCTCCCTCCCTCCTTCCTTCCTTCCCATAGCTTTGCCCACTGCCAGCAGTTCAATCCTGACTGGCTCAAGGTTGACTCAGCCTTCCGTCCTTCCGAGGTGGGTCAAATGAGGACTCAGATTGTTGGGGACAAGAGGCCGACTCTGAAAACCGCTTAGAGAGGGCTGTAAAAGCACTTCGAAGCGGCATATAAGTCTAAGGGCTATTGCTATATCATTTTTTGCAACCAACAAAGACCAGAAAAAGCATCATGTGAAAATGATCAAACCATTGTTGCCTTTAGGGGAAGGAGGAAAGAAAGGAGACGGAACAGAACAGGAGTGTGTGTGTTTGTGTGTGTGGGGTTCCGCCTTCTCTCCACTGACATACCTGGGTTGGGATCTATGTTAGCCAAGAATTCCAAATGGGGACGCAGCCGATTCAGGTTGGCGGGGTCCCCCGTTCGCTGCAGGACGATGGTTAATTCCTGCACACTTTTCGCAAAGGACTCCGGAGACTGGAGCTGGGTGAAAAGAAACACAGGTCCATGCTTTGCACCCAAACTTTTTGCCCAACAGATTGAACGTTGACTCAAGTCTCAGAGCTTTTCCCCAAGGCAGATGGGGGTGATAGCGCAAAGCCATGCATCAACGCAGGGCCGGGAATTTCCGGAGGGGGTGGGGTGTTCCTGGTATTTGGAAGGAACAAGCATTATTTCTTAATGCATGCACCCATGTCGCAGCTTACCCTACAGATTTTGGAGTGGGGGGGGCATTTAAAAATATCACCTGGGCGCTGAGCATGGCCCTTGTGTGAAAGGAAGTAAAAGCAGCTGCACTTCCACCCGAGTATCAGAGGTGTTTTTTTTTAGGAGGGAACTGGACTTTCTTGTTTTTTTCTTTTGAAGATGTTTTGCTTCTCATCCAAGAAGCTTCTTCAGCTCTGACTGGGTGATGGTGGGGAATGGAAGGATTTATATTCCTTGCAGACAGCTGATCATTTGCATCCTTTTAGAGAAGGGGTTCCCAAACTTTTCTATACCCCTAGAATGCTTCCGACATAGTCTCGCACCCCTTACGAAAGTAAATAACTATATGCATAGCGTTATGCATACACAGTATAATTTTAAAACTTCTAAACCCAAGTTTTCACACGGTGGAATATCTTCTCTCACTCCGGTTGGGAACCCCCGTTTCAGAGGCTCACTGAAGCCACTTGAAAGCCAATTCAGCTCTGGATTGCATGATGGGGAGCGGAAGGATTTACACTCCTTGCAGATAGCTGGTCCTTTGCATCCTTTTAGAGAGTCGTAGAGGCCACTTGGAGGCTTCTCTGTGTCCTCAGGATCACCTGAGTGGTGCAAATGGTTCCTGTAAGTCTGCAATTTTTCCCCTCTGGAAATCCATTCCTCCTCCCACCCCATTCCAAGGGTCTCCATCCCAAATTGTACAGCTAAAGGTCTGTAGAGATTCTCGCCCATCCAGGTCGTGGTTGTCCCAAAGGTTCCTTTTTTTTAAAGGAGGCAACTGGACTTTCTTGCTTTTTACTTGAAGACGTTTTGCTTCTCATCCAAGAAGCTTCTTCAGCTCTGACTGGATGGTGGTGGGGACTGGAAGGATTGATGCTCCTTGCAGACAGCTGGTCCTTTGCATCCTTTTAGAGGGCCGTTGAGGCCACTTGGAGGTTTCTCTGTGTCCTCCGAGTCACCTGAGTGGTGCAAATGATTCCTGTAGTCTGCAATTTTTCCACTCTGGAAATCCATTCCTCCTCCCACCCCATTCCAAGGGTCTCCATCCCAAATTGTACAGCTAAAGGTCTGTAGAGATTCTCGCCCATCCAGGTCGTGGTTGTCCCAAAGGTTCCTTTTTTTTAAAGGAGGCAACTGGACTTTCTTGCTTTTTACTTGAAGACGTTTTGCTTCTCATCCAAGAAGCTTCTTCAGCTCTGACAGGATGGTGGGGAATGGAAGGACTTATATGCTTTGCTGAGGTTGACTCAGCCTTCCATCCTTCTGAGGTGGGTAAAACGAGGACCCAGATTGTTGGGGGCAAGAGGCCGACTCTGTAAACTGCTTAGAGAGGGCTGTAAAGCCTTATGAAGTGGTATATGTCTAACTGCTATTGCTTGCAGGCAGCTGGTCCTTTGCATCCTTTTAGAGGGTTGTTGGGGCCACTTGGAGGTTTATCGGTGTCTTCAGGTC